GGTATACCTATGATGAAAATTACAGGCCTCTCTCATCTTTTTAAGTGGGAGAACTTGCACAATTGGTGGCTGACTAAATACTTTTTTTCCCCACTGTAAATAGTAAGCTAAAAATGGTAATATAAGCATCATAAAAACAATCATGAAAAAATAATGAAACAAAATAAATAAAACAAAATAGCAAAAAAAGAAAGAATAAAAATAGAATGGAAAACTAGGATGTAAAATAGAATTGTATGTTAAATGGAGCTGAGAGTAGAGGTCTACACGGAGGACCCGAGACCCGAGGACCCGGGACCCGACCCGGGATCCGTGCGGGTTCGGGGCTATATTTTAAATGGTCAGCCGGGTCCGGTCCCAATCTATTACAATCTAGTTAATGCACACGCATGGTGATAATGGATACCTTCATGAGTGATGTGAGTTATTATTGATTTTTTTTTTAATAATTAATTTTTATGAATGAACCGTCTTGTTGTTATATCTAAAATTTTTGCTCAGACTCGGCTCAGAGAGCAGAGATGATAGCAAACAAGTAAAGCTAACGTCAGCAGCCATGGCACTGGACGAGCAATCCAAATTATAATCCATTATAATATTATAATCCAAATGGGCAAACAGTCTAAATTATTATGCAAGTTGACTCGAGATACAAAAACTGCAAAGTCGCATTTGTCATCCGTCACCGTGACAGCAAGTGGACTTTTGAAACTGGAATAATGAGTGGATTACGCATTTCAATTGGCAAGAGAGGAATAACACGGATGGAACTTTCTTGGCAAGGAGGATTGTGTGCATCACAGGGAGACAAGGGAGAAGGCTTCTTACATTAGGTCAGACAAAAAGTTTAATTTTCGCAACTTGTTTATCGACTTAATAGCAATTTGCTGTGGAATATGTGCCGATCGGGTCCAGTCGGGTCTGTGTCTTTCCGGCCGAGTTCGGGTCCATCTTTCAAATAATTGACGGTCCGCGTCGGTTCCGGGTAGTACATTTTTTACCTTTCTCGGTTCTGCACGGGCCCGGGTCCAACTTTCAAAATAATAGACGGGTCCGGGTCGGTTC